GGTGTAATAGTTTGAACATTCTTTGGCATTGCCTTTCTTTGGAATTGGAATGTAAACTGACCTTTTCCAATCCTGTGGCCACTGTTGAGTTTTCCAAATTTGCTGGCAAATTGAATGTAGCACTTTTACTGCATTGTCTTTTAAGATTTTGAATAGTTCAGCTGGAATACTGTCACCTCCACTAGCTTTGTTGTTGCTCAGTTTCCTAAGCCCTATTTCACTTCACATTCTAGGATGTCTGGCTTGAGGTCAGTGACTACCCCATCGTGGTTATCAGGGACGCTAAGCTCATTCTTGCATAGTTCTGTGTAATTTTGCCACCTCTTCTTAATCTCTTCTGCCTCTGTTAGGTCCCTGCCATTTTGGTCCTTTACCATGCCCATCTTTGCATGAAACGTTCTCTTCATATCTCCAATTTTCTTGAAGAGATCTCTGGTTCTCCCTATTCTATTGTTTTCTTCTATTTTTTTGCACTGTTCATTTAAGAGGGCATTCTTATCTCTTCTAGCTATTCTCTGGAATTCTGCATTCAGTTGGGTGTATCTTTTTCTGCCTTGCCTTTTACTTCCCTTCTTTACTCAGCTATTTGCAAAGCTTCCTCAGACAGCCATTTTGCTTTCTTGCATTTCTTTTTCTTTGGGATGGTTTTGGTTGCTACCTCTTGTACAATGTTGCGAACCTCCATCCATAGTTCTTCAGGCACTCTATCAGATCTAATTCCTTAAATCTATTTGTCACCTCTACTGTATATTAATCAGGGATATGATTTAGTTCATACTTGAGTGGCCTAGTGCTTTTCCCTACTTTCTTCAATTTAAGCCTAAATTTTGCAATGAGAAGCTCATGATCTGAGCCACAGTCAGCTCCTGGTCTTGTTTTTACTGACTGTATAGAGCTTCTCCATCTTTGGCTGCAGAGCACACGGTCAATCTGATTCTTGTGTTGACTGTCTGGTAATGCCCATGCGTAGAGCTGTCTCTTGGGTTGTTGGAAAAGAGTGTTTGCTATGGCCATCATATTCTCTTGAAAAAAATCTCTCAGCCTGTGCCCTGCTTCATTTTGTACTCCAAGGCCAAACTTGCCTGTTATTCTAGCTATCTTTTGGCTTCCTACTTTAGCATTCCAATCCCTGTGCCCTGCTTCATTTTGTGCTCCAAATTCTGTTGATCTCAATCCGGTTGCATTGGCTGGCCTCTGCCCTGCTCTCGCCGCCCCAGTGCAACCAGATTGAGATCAACTGAATTGAGATAGATACTCACATGTGAGCGGCGGACAGACGGACCTATTACATGCTCAATGACCAAATTACAGACACTTAAAGGGCTATAAAAACAAAGTCTTCCCAATGTTAGCTTACACTTTGACAATGTTAGCAGGAGGCTAACGAAAGCTTAGTGCTTAATAAAACTTTCTGTCCCGGAGATTAGTGTATTAGTGTGCCTTTTTTACAGACAAATGTACCTGGGACTCGGATTTTTAGAATAGTTTCCAATATATATCAAAAACTATTCTAAAAATCCGAGTCCCAGGTACATTTATTTTTAAAAAAGACATACTAATCTCTGGGACAGAGAATTGTATTATGCACTAAGCTTTTATTAGCCACTGCTAACATTATCAAAGTGTTAGCTTACACTTTGATAATGTTACCAGTGTCTAATGAAAGCTTAAGTGCCTAATAAAATTCTCTGTTCTGGAGATCAGTATGTCTTTTTTACATACATACATACATACATACATACATACATACATACATACATATAATCAGGTCCAGAAATATTGGGACATAGACACAATTTGAACATCTTTGGCTCTATACACCACCACAATGGAGTTGGAATGAAACAAACACAATGTGCTTTAACTGCAGACTGTCAGCTTTAATTTGAGGGTATGTACATCCAACTCAGGTGAACGGGGTAGGACTTACAGCAGTTTGCATATGTGCCTCCCAGTTGTTAAGGGACCAAAGGTAATGGGACAATTGGCTTCTCAGCTGTTCCATGGCCAGGTGTGTGATATTCCCTCATTACCCCAATTACAATGTGCAGATAAAAGGCCCAGAGTTCATTTCAAGTGTGCTATTTGCATTTAGAATCTGTTGCTGTCAACTCTCAAGATGAGATCCAAAGAGCTGTCACTATCAGTGAAGCAAGCCATCATTAGGCTGAAGAAACAAAACAAACCCATCAGAAAGATAGCAAGAACATTAGGCATGGCCAAAACAACTGTGTGGAACATTCTCAAAAAGAAGGAATGCACCGATGAGCTCAGCAACACCAAAAGACCCAGGAGACCATGGAAAACAACTGTGGTGGATGACCGAAGAATTCTTTCCCTGGTGAAGAAAACACCCTTCACAACAGTTGGCCAGATCAAGAACACTCTCCAGGAGGTAGGTGTATGTGTGTCAAAGTCAACAATCAAGAGAAGACTTCACCAGAGTGAATACAGAGGGTTCACCACAAGATGTAAACCATTGGTGAGCCTCAAAAACAAGAAGGCCAGATTAGAGTTTGCCAAACAACATCTAACAAAGCCTTCACAGTTCTGGAACAAGATCCTATGGACAGATGAGACCAAGATCAACTTGTACCAGAGTGATGGGAAGAGAAGAGTATGGAGAAGGAAAGGAACTGCTCATGATCCTAAGCATACCACCTCATCAGTGAAGCATGGTGGTGGTAGTGTCATGGCGTGGGCATGTATGGCTGCCAATGGAACTGGTTCTCTTGTATTTATTGATGATGTGACTGCTGACAAAAGCAGCAGGATGAATTCTGAAGTGTTTCAGGCAATATTATCTGCTCACATTCAGCCAAATGCTGCAGAACTCATTGGACGGCGCTTCACAGTGCAGATGGACAATGACCCAAAGCATACTGCAAAAGCAACCAAAGAGCTTGTGAAGGGACAGAAGTGGAATGTTATGCAATGGCCAAGTCAATCACCTGACCTGAATCCAATTGAGCATGCATTTCACTTGCTGAAGACAAAACTGAAGGGAAAATGCCCCAAGAACAAGCAGGAACTGAAGACAGTTGCAGTAGAGGCCTGGCAGAGCATCATCAGGGATGAAACCCAGCATCTGGTGATGTCTATGCATTCCAGACTTCAGGCTGTGATTGACTGCAAAGGATTTGCAATCAAGTATTAAGAAGGGAAAGTTTGATTTATGATTATTATTCTGTCCCATTACCTTTGGTCCCTTAACAAGTGGGAGGCACATATTCAAATTGCTGTAAGTCCTACCCCGTTCACCTGAGTTGGATGGACATACCCTCAAATTAAAGCTGACAGTCTGCAGTTAAAGCACATTGTGTTTGTTTCATTCCAACTCCATTGTGGTGGTGTATAGAGCCAAAGATGTTCAAATTGTGTCTATGTCCCAATATTTCTGGACCTGTGTGTGTGTGTGTGTGTGTGTGTGTGTGTGTGTGTATATATATATACACACATACATACATACATTCATACATACATACATACATACATACATACATACATACATATATATATAGTGAAAATATATATAAATAGATTTTCACGGGTATAGGTATTCAGGTTTTGGTGTATTCGGGTCTTTTCCCGTGTAAGATTGAGAGTATCTTGGTGACGTTTCAATGAGGTCCACTCGTCATCTTCAGGCTGGGGTCTTCGGCTTCGTGCTTGTGCGAGCAAAGAGTTTGCTCGCACAAGCACGAAGCCAAAGACCCCAGCCTGAAGATGACGAGTGGGACCTCGTCAAAACGTTGCCAAAATACTCTCAATCTTACACGGGAAAAGACCCGAATACACCAAGACCTATGCTGTTGTTGTTGTTAATTGCGAAGTCATGTCCGACCCATCGCGACCCCATGGACAACATTCCTCCAGGTCTTCCTGTCCTCTACCATCTTCTGGAGTCCATTTAAATTCACACCTACTGCTTCAGTGACTCCATCCAGCCATCTCATTCTCTGTCGTCCCCTTCTTCTATTGCCCTCAATCTTTCCCAGCATTAGGCTCTTCTCCAGTGAATCCTTCCTTCTCATTAGGTGGCCAAAGTACTTGAGTTTCAACTTCAGGATCTGGCCTTCTAAAGAGCAGTCGGGGTTGATCTCTTCTAGGACTGACCGGTTTGAACGCCTTGCAGTCCAAGGGACTCGCAGGAGTCTTCTCCAGCACCATAGTTCAAAGGCCTCAATTCTTTTGCGCTCAGCCTTTCTTATGGTCCAACTTTCACAGCCATACATTGCAACTGGGAAAACCATGGCCTGGACTATACGTACTTTTGTTGGCAGGGTGATGTCTCTGCTTTTTAGTATGCTGTCTAGATTTGCCATAGCTTTCCTCCCCAGGAGCAAGCGTCTTTTAATTTCTTGGCTGCAGTCCCCATCTGAGGTGATCTTGGAGCCCAGAAAAATAAAATCTGTCACTACCTCCATTTCTTCCCCATCTATTTGCCAGGAATTGAGAGGGCCGGATGCCATGATTTTGGTTTTCTTAATGTTGAGTTTCAAGCCAACTTTTGCACTCTCCTTCTTCACCCGCATCAAGAGGCTCTTTAGTTCCTCTTCACTTTCTGCCATTAGAGTGGTATCATCTGCATATCTTAGGTTGTTGATATTTCTCCCGGCAAACATATATATATATATATGTTCGGGTTTTCTCCCGCGTAAAATTGGGAGTGTCTTGGTGATGTTTCGACGAAGTCCCATTCGTCATATTCAGGCTGGTGCTTTCAGCTTCGTGCTTTGAGCAGCAATACAAATACCCGCGAAAACCTCAGAAAACATATATATATATATATATATGTATGTATGTATGTATGTATGTATGTATGTATGTTTGTGTGTGTGTGTGTGTGTGTGTGTTTATACAATTATATTTACTTACTGTATATCTGTATATATATGTACAGACAATTTAGAATACATAGTGGAAAAAAGAGTCCTGAAAGTTAACAAGGTTGATACTATATGGTATAAACTATTACAGAATCTATTTTTCTGCTTCAGATGCTGCGAAGCCTCCTCCCAGAAGGTAAGAAACAAAATTGGTCGTGGAGAGGATATGTAGCATCTAAGACAATACTGCAGACCCTGGTCAAGCAGCTTATATGCTACATCTGGATAGAAGGAAGTGAACCTCCAATAATCTTTTATGCCATCCTCACCATTTCTGCACAGCCTTCCTGTTCGAAACAATAATACTTCCAAAGAAGATGTGCTCTTGTCATGATACAGAAAATGCAGACACTGCTGTTTCCCCAGTGCACAAGCTAACCTGCTCATCAGCCACACAGCCAAAAACCTGATACTACTAACCACCTCCATAGTTGAATTGTTAATACAAAGAGATGTATGGCAATGCCTGCCTTTTCTGAAATCAACAATGATCTCTTTTGTTTTTCCTACATTTAAAACCAGGTGGTTTTTATTAATACCAGTTCATCAAACCCACTGTTTCCGGTAATCATCCTCATTATCATCCTAAATAAGGCCCACCATTGCTGTTGCATCAACTGCGTACTTCACAACAATCATGGTTGTAAATAACAGCGGACTTAGGACACAGCCCTGAGCTCAAGAACATGGTGTTAGAAATATTAGTCCCAACTCGCACAAACTGGGGCCTATCAGTGAGAAAATCAAAGCCTAGTTGCACAAAGCAATTGAAGCCTAAAAGGCCCAGTTTATCTACAGATTATCTACTAAATTTTGAGGAACGATTATATTAAATGTTGAACTAAAGTCGACAAACAGCATTCACATGTGAGTATTTCTTTCCTTTAAGTGTGCCAAGCTCAGATGGAGAAGAGGAAATAGCATCTTCTGTGGAACGATTTGGGCAGTAAGAAAACTGAAGTGAGTCAAATGATAAAAGTCCTTTATCAACTTTTCAAAACATTTCATAATGATGGACATAAGTGCAATTGGATGATAATCATTAAGACCTTTTTGGTACTGGCAAAATAATGGCAGTCTTAAAACACAATGGAACCGCTGCCTGCTGCAATGAAAGATTGAAAATATCTGTAGTCCCTGAAAGACTATCAATTTTACAGTAAATCTGGAACACATGGTGGAGGATAATTTTCCCGTTGACCACAGAAAGTAGTAGTGCGCGTTTTTTTATACAATCAAATAAATCCCTAAAATGACCAAAGAGTTTTGCTGTTCAAAAGATTCAAGCTAAAAATTGGCTCTAGTATTTGCTAACATTTTGAGATACAAATCAAAAAAATCAAAACATCTTATTATGATGATAGATCAAAAAAATTTCAAAATGCAAAGTTTCAAAACCTTTTATATAAGCACAAAGCAATCTTAGTGAAATTAAAAACAAAACAAAGCAAACATCAAAGGCCTTCCCAGCTCCCACAAGAAAGTAATATTCTGACTTTGCCAATTTGGTGCTGAATCATGAATTCACCATCCCTATATCAGTCTCTGCCATCCAAAACATCTTTACTGTTATCCAAACTACTGTTTGTTTTGTTTCTATTTCTCATTGATTTAATTTTTGAAGTAATTATTATTTTTTATGCTTTTGAATTTAGGGTGTTTTGGGTACTGTATACTTTAAAAAAACAAAAGCAGCTATTAAATTATTGTCTTCTTTGACAAAGAGAATTAGTGGAACAAGGAAATGCTGTAGACATAGGATCCTTAGACTTCAGTAAGGCACTTGACAAAGTAGATTGTAGCCTATTTGGTAAGGTAGAACAACACGGGATGGAAAGTATCACCACCGGATGGATTCACAATTCACTGCAATAATGAGACCACACTTGGAGTACTGCGTCCAGATCTGGTCACCTCAATACAAAACTGATGCTGAAAAATTAGAAAGAGTGCAGAGAAGAGCAGCAAAGATGATAAAGGGTATGAAGACTAAGCCATATGAAGAATGTAGGGAACTAGGTATATCCAATCTAACAAAGAGAAGGACTAGAAATGATATGATAGCAGGCTTCCAGTATTTGATGAGCTCTCACAAAGAACAAGGGTTGACCTATTCTCCAAAGCTTGACACATCTTGCAAAAAATTATCTCCTAATTTTAATGTACATGTGATGTATGATTTAGTATATAGCAGGAAATATGTAGGAGGCAGTCAGGAAGAGTGTAACCTCATAGGGGTTACATGGGGAACAAAGAGAATATTTTGGGTTGGAACTTTAGAGAGAACCAAGCTTTGATAGCTTCTCTCCCTGCTTATTGCAATAAGTGAAACAAAAGGCCTTTACTGTGTCTTGGCTGGTTATTGGTCAGGCGAGCTTGCCTCTGGTCACGAAGGAAAGTAGCCAGAAGCACATAACAATTTCATATACCTGGGGAAAATGATGGTAGTTTATTGATTGTCCTTGCATATTTTTCTTGTCATCAGACTTCAGTATTCTAAAATTTGTGAAGAAAAAGAGATTTATATCAGCAGGACTAAATCAATCCTGATGATTTAATGAATATCTTTCTGATCCTAATATTCCTTTACTTGAATTGATTGAATGAATGAGGGAGGGGGGAATAATTATACTGACATATGACATGTTGGATGTTTATGAAGTGAATGAAACAGGGAGCAAACTTTGATGTTTACTCTGACACCCTTTATATACCAGAATATATACAAAGTTTTAATGATATTCAGTAGCAAATATGTTTCATGTGAAATAACATATTTTTAAAAAACATAATCTAATATAAGCTAATACATGACTGAAGAATGCTCTCATTCAAAACAAAATGTTGAAACACTAATGTGATTTTGAAACCTGTATGTAACAATATTCAAAATTATGAGGAATTTCAAATGATTTTGGTGGGTACCTTCCTTACTGTTTCCTAGAGAAGATATGTATGTATGATAGGATTCCTTTCCAACATAAGTTACCAACATTAAACCTGTACTATCTGAATTAATACAACATAGAATCTGTACTATCATTTAAAATTTCAATGATATATATTTTTTTATCTTAGGGACTTTAGGAAGAAAGGGAAGATTATGTAAATCAACACACAAAAATTCAAATTTATCTTAACCTAACAGAAAAATTCTGAAAGCGCTTGGGATGAATATGGAGCCACACCAACTTAGGCAACCTCAAGAACTTTAACATTTGAGAGGAGACTTTTTTCTGGCAAGAAAAACCAAGACTTCCACTTTATGCAAGGAGAACCAATAAAGTAAAAATATATTATTCCTGTGCAAGTTTGCACAAAATACAACTAAAAACATGAAATATTCTGTTTCTTGCTGAGGCCAAATTTGTGTGTGATTTCTTCACAATACTCTCAACATAATTTTAAGATGAACTAAAATAAGATTATGCTGATTCTAGACTTTTAAAAATTCTTTACACAAAAACATGGGGAGAATAAAAAAAATCAAACAAATGTAGCAAATAAAAAAACGTATTCCTACTCTCTGCATCTCTATAATATATGCACATAACAAAACACCAAATGGGGATAGAAATAATCTTTATTTAGCCAAATTGAAAGGAGGGAAGAAAGAAAGTGGGTGCAATTAGAAAGGAATAAGAAATTGAAATGTATTTACATTCCCCTGACAGGAATGTGAATGATGCCCATTTTACAATAGTTTGTAAAAAAATGCCCTTTCCAGCAAGTACCAATCAACCCCCTTAGTGTCAACACAAGCTTGCTCTGTTAGTTCAGCTTCTGTTCTGCGTCAGGGCAGTGGGAAGGCCAGAGCTCAGCAGGCATGCTTGGGCAGGATTGTCACACGCTCCTGTTCCCCACCTCCTATGATGTCCAATGATTCCAGTCTGCTCAGGCGCTCCTGGCTTCTTCCAAGGACCTCTTCTAGCTGTCCACTGAGTGCCTGGATCTTTTCTAGTTCTAGTTGAAGGATCTGTTCTTGTCTGGAGTTGGTGAGACCATGCACAAAAGCAAGGAGATTAGGACAAAATGTACCAACTTGTTCTGAACACAATATGAATCCTATAAATTGTAACAATAACATCACTACTATACTGACAGGAAGAAAAGAGTAGAAAATTATAGGCATACAAACAGACCCGCGCTCTCCAATCCTATCCAGCACTGTGAACAACAATCTTTTTTAGCTATACAGTGAGTAATAGGAAAATATATTCCAATATTTTTTTGCAACTAGAAAAGGATAATAAATTATTTTCCTCACCTGTCAGGATGAGCATGACACTTCACCAAACTGCAATAGAGTTGCTTTTCTACGTTCAGAGTTTCATTCAGCTTCTTCTTCTCTGCTATTATGCCCTCCAACATCACCAGTAGCTGCAACATGAGGAGTCTACTTCAATTGGCAATAAATGTTGATTTTATTGCTTATCTTTAAGCTTACTACAAGTTCCCTATTGGTTCTGGTGACGACCTGGACTAGTCACTGCAGTTTTCTTGTCAGGTTTTTGAAAGTGGTTTACCACTGTTTTCCTCCTGGGAATGAGAGAGAGAGACTGGCCCAGAGTCATCCAGCTTACTTTATGCTTAAGGTAGGAAACACTCATAATGTCTAGCCTGATGCTTTAACTGCTGTACCAAACTTCCTCTCAATGTATCTCAGCAATACCATAAAAATAAAAATAACACAATTTACAGAATCCCATTTCCTTTGAACAAAAGCAGGACAAAAGCTTAAGTCGTGATAGCTTGAATTCATTATATGACATCTTTTAAATCATACCTGCTGCCTCTTGTTTCCTATGGCTTCCTGTCCCTGTGATTTCATTTTTGCTACCTTTTCCTGAAGCATCAAAACTTCTTGAGTAAGTCGTTCAATTGCTGGTATTTCTTCAGGGTCAATCAATTGCATCTGCAAGTCCTGAAAAAGAACGTTTCCTGGAGAATTAAAGAAAGCAACTTGTTGTTATAGAACTTGCATCTTGACAGAGGAAAACAACATTGCTCAAAACTTGAATGATATAATTTTCAAAAAAGAAGCTTTCAAAATAAAAAACTAGCACAGGTCTGGGATTAAAGACAAAACAAAAAGGTGTGTTTTATATTAAACATCCTACTGCTTATAACTATATATAATATATTGGTATTAAAAACGTAAACTTTCTACTTTCTGGAACAAAGGCAAAGAAACAGGAAATCAATACAATTTGCTCACTATTACAAACACCGTAAAATCTGCAGAAAGACAAACCTGAAAATATTTTTGTAAGCAATCTAACCTAGACTCATTCCCAGCAGCCTGCGCCTGTCTTCAACAGTGAAGAGATACAGGACAGAAAACATCCTGCAGCCAAGAAGGCTCCACACACATTTGCATAACTCAGGTGACCCTGAGGACACAGGTAAACAGCCTCAATGATTCTCTAAAAGAAAGCAAATGAACAGCTGTCTGCAAGGATTATAAATCCTTTCATTCCCAACCATCCAGTCAGAGCTGAATAAGCTTCTTGGATGAGAAGTGAAACATCTTCAAAGAAAAACAAGAAAGTCCAGTTGCCTCCTGAAACAGCACCTTTGGGACAACCATGACCTGGATGACTGAGAATCTTCATAAACATTCAACTAACCTTAATTAGTTCTTCTTTGATCTGGGTACTTCTAGTAAGAGATTCAATATCAGAGGATTGAACTTGCAACGCCTCCTCTTGGGAAGCCACCACAGACTGAAGAGCAGAGAGTTTTAGCTAAGGGGTTGAGATGGGAGAAAAAAAATGAAGAAAATTTTGTACCCAAAAATCTCAAAATCCCTTGATAGTGACAGACCAACCATTTGGTACAATGATCTTTTCTATAATGGGATTTTGGAGCCTACGGTCTAATAGTCCAGAGCAATCTTCCTTTGATTAGAAGAATAGGTGTTAGGCATTAAACACTATTTTAACCAAGCTAAAAATTGAGCTGCAAATTCCATTGTTCTATGGGTCTCATAAAAGGAGGAGAATGACTGGGAAAAAGTGCTCCATAAAAAAAAAAAACACAATTTATGACTATGGAACATTAAAACCAAACTATGGAATAAAGTCACTTCCTAGAAGTGTGGAACCCAATAAAGTTGAAAGCTGACCCAGTTTCAAATGTATAGCCACTACAATGCCCCCAAGGTCATTCAGACTTGAGGGTGAGAAGTAGACCCCTCCACCACTCAGGGGGGCTGGCTATTTCATGCCCCACTGTGGAAACTTCCGAGGTGTTTAGTGTTTAGTGCTTCTTTGGCAAGAGGGCTTTTTATTCTGCTGCTGGGCTTCTTTCCCTGGCCTCCCTGGGCTCATGCTGCAGCACCTCTGTAAGTTGCATGTGGCCTGCACTGGGCCTCCCACACCTCCTAAGACACCTGTACTTTGCTTAATGACCCATGTATTCCTTTAATGGTTGCATCTGTGAGAGCAGGATGTGGGTGCCTTTAAGTGATACCATGTCTTTTAGCAGCCATCACCACTTGTGACTGTAGGGGACAACTGTAGTTACAGTCATATCTTGAGGATTACCTGTACAACTAGTAAATTGTTTTATGTGTTAAAAGTGGTCTGTAGATATTTCAGGATTCCTCAAACTTACTGTGCTTTCTCTTTCTTTTTGTGTCAACAATTCAAGCTTCTCTTTTGCTTTAGTAAGCTCCCTCTCAAGTCTAGCAGTTGTTTGCAAATCATCTGAAGAGAAAGTAAAGTAATCTTAGACAAATAGTAAATAACAGATGGATCAGACTATTCAGAAATTGTTTTTGGACCCACCTTTATCTCTCCTGGGTTTACTGCCATCTCTGTTAGAAATCATGGCTGGGATGTTCATGCTAAAATCTTCTTGCCTTGGTGCCTTAGAATAAAAATAAAACGTGCATACTTATTTTACTAAAGACAAGTGGTTGGCAGCAGTAGGGGGCACAACTGTTAACTGTGGGCTGGCCAAATTTTGATCACTTGACCACAAGGGTCCTGCTAACATCAAGAACCAGTTGTAAGCCCACTTTTTTCAGCCTAATTGTAACTTTGAACAATCACTGAATGAACTGACATACAGGACTACCTGTAAAGTTGATTTTGTATACTTTATTCTTGATAAGCTCATGCCATTTCCAAATAATTAATGTACTGTTTCAACTGTCCATAACCCAACCACTTATTAGCCTATTCTAGAAAGGTTTCCTTTATTGCTTGAAGATGACAGACCTACATAGCATTTCCCCCTTTTCAAAGATGGACCTATTACTATGCAAATCACCAATTCTACATAAATTCCGAAGAGCAACAATGTTGAATAGTTACCTAAAACCTTTGCTTAGATAAGAATTCTATTTTAAAATACCATTTGTTTAGCCCTTGCCACTCTTTCCTTTCAGTTCATAACAAAACTACTGCTCTTGCCTCTTGCCATCTGTGGCTTGCCTGATATTCATCTGCCTAACTGTGCTGTCTCATAAACCCAAATACTCTTACTTCAGTAGAGCCCTCTTGTACAAACTGAACAATAGAAGACTCCGTATTCTGATGAAGAATTTGGCTAATCAGTTGCTGATTCAGGATTAGCAGCTCAGAATTCTTCTCTAAAAGAACCTGTGCGATCTTCTTGGAATATATCTAATTATACAACAAAGCCAGGAGAGAGAAAGGCAAGCATTAATAAATGAATCACACAATAAAAATGTTCAATATTATATTTACATACATATCTATACTATTGACCAGACAAATACAATTTATTCCCAATTTTACAGAAAAATGTACAAATATTTTTGAGCATCACTAATTTAAAAGAAAAATCAAAATTATTAGGAAACCAAAAATCAGCAGTCAAAAACAAAATTTTGAATGCTTAGAAAAAATAAGAGAAGCAAAAAGGCCAAATATATTTATTTTAATATATGTTTTGATTTCATTACAGAAAAGACCCTGAACCTATGCCTCATGATCAAATCAGCAACATAAAAGAATTTATTTAAATGGGTACTTTAGTCACGGCATCTTTCTTGAGAGGTGATGAAAATACATTATCACGGGCATTTACCACCTTCTTCATTCAGGCAGATGGAAAGAAGAAAAGCAATATCTGATAGCCCTTGTTTCTCAAGTTTTTTTTTTTTTTTACTAATCTTCAGTTCATAAAAAAGCATTTTTATAAAAAGTAAATAAAATATCAAATTCCCATTTAGCACGAACAGATTTTTAAAATGATAGCCAGACTATGGATCTGTGGACATTCCACCGGAAGGCTACTTGGGATACCTCTACTGAATATTCCAGGAATAGGATAATGGTGAAATTTCATTAAGAACAAGATTCTTAGTTTCACTGTGATTTTATTGTATCTGGCTCCTCAACCAATGAATAAGTTTTCTTAAGATCCAAACAAGAATATAAATATGGCTGGATGGCCATCTATAGAGGAAGATGTAGTACTAGGCAGGAAGTAAACTAGATGATCTGTAAGATTCCTTTCACCCTTTCCTTCTGTGATTCTACGATCAGACTGATTTTCTCACTCACAGTGTCCCACTTACATAACTTTGCTGTTCTCTAGTGTTCCATGCTTGAAGTAACTCCTCAAGCTCAACCACTGGGTCTACAACTTGCCGGCTCTTGTCCCTTAGGAATTCTTTTATGATCTGATCTTTTTGCTGAAGGTGAAGGTGCAGGGCTTCCACGATGTCCCTCTGTCCAGGCTCCAGATTGCAGAGCAGTGTTGCTGAAAGGGTCTAAGACAAGAAAGATAAGCCTGGAGAAGATCAGCCTTCTATCCCCTACAACACAGATGTCAAACTTGATTGCGTCACATGACGTATCATGACTTTTTTGCTTTTGCGGAACTGGAGTGGGCTGCCAGTTTGACACCCCTGCCCTACAGCTTTGCTCCTGCCCTAACTGGAAAACATTAATAGTAATGTTCCATCAGCAGCATATTCAATAAAGATAGCAAAATGCCTAAGCCATATGCACCATTGGTTTTGCACCACTGCAAAAACTACTTAAGAAAATGGGATAGTATGTCTTATGCATCCCAGCCACTGTACTCTAAATCTTAAAATGACATAATTGTTCTCTCAAGTCTTGAATTGTTGATTCCTGTCTCTTCAGCTTTTTTCCTAACAAGCTGAACCACAAGTCTTACCTCTACTTCTTTGTTTCTGTCATGAAGCTTCTGGATAAATCCTTCTTGTTCAGATTGCCACTTCTGAGATTTTGCTTCTATATTCTTGATCAGCCATTGCAAATTCTGGTTTGCTGCTAACAGCTTCTCCAGTTCCAGGTCCTTGGCTTTCAGCAAGCTCTCTAGACACTGTGAACAACATGAACAACAAATAGCTCAAGATAAGACAAATCAGTATTAATTCCAACCCTTTTTTACAGTTTTAAAGCCAATCATATTAGGATAAAAGATAAATTATCCATGAAGCAAACATGTTCCAACCACCCAAGCTGAAATTCTATTTCTTACAGTAGAAGAAGGGAATTTAATGCCCCCAGCTATTTTGGATTGCAACTTCTGCAATCTCCAACCGCTATATTGGCTGGCATTCATGGCACTTCAGTCCAAAATAATTAGGAACGCTAGATTGTCTTCTCTAACTTAACAAGTTTTATTCAATCTTAGATCAGAAACAGAATAACAGAGTTGGAAGGGACCTTGGAGGTTTTCTAGTCCAATTCTATGCCCTTTCAGACAAATGGTTGTCCAAAGATAATTTATATATAGTAAAAAAAAGGAATTTTATGTAGTATTGAGATCTTACAAAATGTCACAGTCAGGACAGGCATGCCAGGATAGATAAGCCTATTGGCCTGCTAACTTACCTATATAGAACCAATCTAAAAATTAAATATTAGGTGTGAACTTCTTTGATTCACCTTCAAGCCAATGGTTGCCAAAAACAATTGCATTTTAGTTTCAATCTCACTAATTGTTAGAAAACTATGGCCTATAATATAACCAGAGCAACTACCCTTATGGTAGCAATTTACCTGGATAGTAGCTTTGTTGCCGGAAATAACTTGGTGTAGACCTTTCAGATCACGATTTTGTTCTTTTATGGACAAATAAAGCTGGTTCATTTCCTGTTCTTTATCTTCCAGTGCAGAGAACTTCTCCCCTACTGCTTGCTATAACAGAATCCCCCCCCCCCAGAAAGTATTGCATGAATAACAAGAGGCAAAAAGTTAAATACTCAGACGGGGGTCTTGCTGCAACTGCAACTTAAATAAGCTTTACTTTTTCTTGGGTTTCCATAATAGCAGTGCAGCTCAAGGAAAATATGTATTCAGCTTAAGGAGACACTGACTTGAGAAATATGTATTTTCTTGGGATCAAGCTGCAGTTTCCTTAAGGCAGCATTGGCAGGTGCAGTAAACATGTGCATACCCAGCAGTACTTTTTCCATTTTGAATCTGACTTACATATTTCTAAATTAGAGAAAAACAAAACTCACTTAATTAAAAAAAAATAAGTTGACATTGTCAGCTGGATCTCCAGTGGATTTTCGAGGCTTGCTGCTATCAGCTGCCATTGAAATGGGGAGGAGGGCTTAGGTATTTGTGGTGGGAAAAGTGTTGGTGTGTGAGTGTGTCTCCTGGGAATTGGAAGGGAGGTTTTTACTCATGAGCTATGGCACTACTGAGTGAGTTAGTTTACACTTCTCCAAGGCCAACTCTACTGAGACTCCGGAGGCAAGAAACACTTGCAGAGGACCTGTTTCCCATAACATCTTACTGGACGTTGATTGGACTCTTTGTGCTGGGCTCTGGGGGGAGGGATTTGGGATGATTTGCTATGTGTAACTTGCACATGGTTTTGCCTCGGATCCTGCGTGCTTTCCCTGCTATCAATTCTTTCTTAGTAAAAGTACCTCTTCCCTAAATCAATGGAGTTGGGGATTTTCTTTCTTAGGATTTGAACAGAGGCAATCTTGACATTAGGCAAGATCTGGTTTACCGGCCAACCCGGAGACTGTAGTCTATTGTGGGGGCCGAGCACCCAATGTCCACTCACAGGAGCAATCAGGAAAAGACTGGAGCATGGGAGTGGCTCCTCCGAGGTTGGGCCGCATTTGAGATGAAGCAGAGTGGCTGGAGGAACTGGAGCTTGATGAGGAACCTATCTCAGCCAGATGGTCACTGGGCAGAGGGTGGCCGGAGGACCCCGAAGACCACCCACTAGGGGTGACTTTTACCCAGAGGGCATTGAAGATCCCGCAGAGCGGACAGGAGAGAAGAGGAATGAGATGAATTTCCTCTGTCTGACTCGGACCACAAAGACCTTATGCTGAGCCACACATTGTTATCTGCTGTAGGAGGCGATCAAAAATCAGAGGGTCAGGGAAACCCTCTGACCACCCAACCCAGATGACCACCCAACAGCCGCGCAATGATGATGGCCAGGAGGAACTGGGAACTCTGACCCCTCCGGAGGAGAGTGATATTGACTCTGACAATGACCCCCTAGCAAGTCAGCACGTAATCTTGATATTAGTGGTGTCCTACTCGGGCACCCAGGGGAGGATGTTGACCCTTGGACACAGGGTGCACCAGATGTGTGGTCAGCACAGAGATGATAGAAAAATTGAGACTGAGACTGAGAAGGCTGAGGGTGCCTATAGCCTTTTGCCAACTGGATGAGTCGGTGGCGGGGGTGGCCCATTTTGTGACTGAGCATGTGGAAATGAGAATGGGGAGCCACAAAGATAATGAGTTTTATAGTGGCACCTGGGATGGAGAGGCCCTTCTGCTTGGACTGATGTGGCTCCACAAGTGGAACCCTCATGTGAATTGGAGGAGGGAGCTCCTAAAAATCCAGCCTCAACTGACAGAAGGAGGGGAAAGGACCCACCTCCTGAAGTCAAAAGAATCAAGGTGGCAAGGGAATTGGTGGCTGCTGTGCAGGAGCACCAAAAGGGAGAGGAAAAAATTCCAGAATCTGAAATGTGGATTTATCCAGCTGGCTAGATCTAGAGTGGCAGCCTCAGTATTGTTCCGGGAGAAGAGAGATAGCTTATAATAATTCAGGTCACAGTAGCACCTGATTTACCTCTTTCAAGATAGCTTCTGGCCAGGATTTTGTTCCAATGTCAGAACTGCCCCAGGAGAAGCCTATGACTTACTCCTTGGTGGAGTGGATCGAGCAACTTCAAAATACCTGGTCAGTGACATGTAAAGCATTCAAAGATGTGCATCAAGCCCACAAGAAACAAGCTGATAAAAAGAGAGCTAAATCAAAAGCATTTAAAGTGGGTGATAGTGTATTTGTCCACTAGGTATTTACAGACTACCCAAAAATCAAAGAAACTGGGGCCAAAATATGTGGGTCTATTCACCATTGTTAAAATAGTCAACCCAGTTACTGTGCAATTGGATCTATCAAAAAGTCTTAAACAAATCTATCCTGTTTCATTGCAGTTTGCTTAAGTCTAGAATTATGTCTCCTCTTCGCCCTGCTCAGCCAACTCTTCCAACACCTATTCTTATAGAAGGGGAACAACATTTTGAAATCAAAGAAATCTTAGCTGCCAGGAAACTTAAAGGGAAAATACAATACTTAGTGGCTTGGAAGCATTTTCCTACTCTGCAGTCTGAATGGGTGGATGCTCAAAATGTTCGAGCCCCTAGGTTCCTTCAAATGTTTCACAGAAATTACCTGGGCAAGCCCATGTAAAAATTATGTTCCCTAATATTTAACTGATGTTGGTTACACTGTATTTCCCATGCTACTTTTGTATTTTGAATTGTTTTTCTTTTGTAGGGCTAAAGCCCCTGTTGAAGGAGGGCTGAATGTCAGCTGGATCTCCAGTGGTTTTTTGAGGCTTGCTTACTATCAGCTGTCACGGAAACGGGGAGGGAAGGGCTTAGATATTTGGGGCGGGAAGAGTGCTGACAACTGGGTGCTGTCTCCTAGGAATTGAAAGGGAGGTTTTTACTCATAAGCTACCGCACCACTGAGTTAGTTTACGCTTCTCCAAGGCCAACTCTCCTGAGACTCTGGGAGCAAGAAACATCTGCAGAGGAGCTGTTTCCCATAACATCTTACTGGCTGTTGATTGGACTCTTTGTGCTGGACCCTGGGGGGAGGGATTTGGGATGATTTGCTATGTGTAACTTGTGTGCGGTTTTGCTTCAGATCTTGCCTGCTTTCGCTGCTATCAGTTCTTTCTAGTAAAAATACCTCTTCTCTAAATCAATGGAGTTGGGGATTTTCTTTCTTAGGATTTGAATGGAGGCAGTCGGGTATCACCCACAGAAAGGAAAGGAGTATACTGCCTCAAAGTCTATCCCAAACGTAAACAAAAATTAACAATCAAGAGATTTTCCTAGAAGTTTCTGCAAGTACCTCCAGGGCAGCATCTTTGTCTTTAATTAGTTGCTGCAATTTCTGTACCATTTTATCAGCTGTTGTAGAATTTTTGTCCAAATCCTGATGGTACGCAAAGAGATCCTTAGATTCCTAGGAAAACAGAAGGCATATCAGAATCATCAATAATCTATATGAAAATGTATACATTTTTTTTTCTATTAGAAAGAACCAGGAGTATCTAGTGTCTTCCCTATAGCCTGTTCAGGATCTAATACATTTTCCCCAAGATGTAATACAAAATTTGTATTTTCTCTATAAAGTATAAAAAAAAAACAGTGATTATTTTTACTGTTAATAGTTTCAATTTGTAATTGACTGAATTGTTTTACTAGTTTTACATATTTCTGTGGAAAATTAGGGAATTTCCATTTTGAAAAGATACATACACTTTTCTTAATAAAACAAATAATTTTATGTTTCGCTATACTTGTTAAAATACAATGGAAAATTCAGTTCTTCCCATTTCCCCCTGTTTTGCAGAATATATTTTAGAGTACTTCAAACTTCCATTTTAGATTAATTACCCTAATAGAGTAATTGTCAAGCTATGAACTCCACTGCCTTTAGGGCCACTGTAGTGCTGCTAGTTTGCCAACAGTTATGGGAAAGGGGGGAGGAAGAGTTTGGGATTCACAGGTATTCCCTGTCAGTGTGAGAGCCAAAACTGTTGAGAGAAGGTTTTGACAGACTAAAGTTTCTTCTTATAACAATTGCTGGAAGATTTATTGGACAATGTGATCTGAACTGTCAGAGAGGGGAGGGAAAGTTTTACTCCATTAATAATCTGTTTCCTGCCACTGCTTCAGAGTTAAGTTTCATTCTACCTTGCCGGATTGATCATGCCTACTAAAGTTAACATTGGAGTTCACAATGCCTCTGGTCTTCTTCTTCTTCTTTTATTTATTTTTTTTACAAATTTTATTAAATGTACATTTTAAAAACAAAAATGGACATGATTCAATTTCCCTGGCTTTAACAATGCTATTAGTATTACCTTATGTTACAGAAAAACAGAAACTTAAAATACATTCTGTAACAGGACAGAGTATAACAAACTGTGCGTATAACATCTGTAAATTTTTTGATAAACCATCTTTCAATCATCAACATTGTATTTACATATCATTTAGTTGTGTCCTAATAAGAAGTCCTTATAATGTCAACTACTCAATCGATAATCATCTCAGCGATCCTCCTTATCTCTAACCAATCGTACAAATTTTTCCAAATTTCATACTACTCTGTTTCAGTTTTATTTTTCATCTCTAGAGTTAACCTGTCCATTTCGGCACAGGATAAAATTTTATTTATTATTTCTTCCTCAGTGGGAGTTTCCTTTCCTTTCCATTTTTGGGCGTATGCCAATCTTGCTGCGGTTAAAATATGCAATAGTAAGTAGAAAGACGCTTTGCTAAGTTTATCATTAATAATCCCTAATAAGAAGATTTCTGGTTTTAAATCAATTTTTTGTAATAGTATTTCTTCTAGCCAATTTTTTATCTGATTCCAAAAATTTTGCGCCTTTGAACATTCCCCCACATGTGATATAGTAAGTCGCTGGAAGCCTTCTACATTTCCAGCATGTTGGTGAGGTTTTTTTTATCTATTTCTGTTAGCCTTGTAGGGGAAGGTGCCATCTATAAAACATCTTGTATAAATTTTCTTTGTAGGAGGTGGCTAGTGTTAACCTCCTGTTTCTATCCCATAATGATTGCCAATTATCTATGTCAATACTGTAACCAAAATTTTTACTCCAGATTAACATTGTTTCTTTTACCTGTTCTTCTAACAAATCTTGTTCTAATAAATATTGATATATCTTTTTTAACATTTGATCTTCTGTTCCTAGAAGGATTTTATCTAATTGTGTATGCTCTAATTTTATTCCTGGTTCTTTTTTGTCTTTTCTGTATCGCGACTGTATTTGTAAGTATGCCCACCATTCCAACTCTATACCATCTTCTGATAATCTTTCCCTTGTTTTCAGGTCCCCATTCTCGTCTAAGATATCTTTATATGTAATTATTCTTCCTAAATTTATGAATTTGGGGTGTATGAATATCTCTAATATGGGTAGCCAATTGGGAATTTTTATATAATTATTTTTTAAATTTTTTATCCACACATCTAATAGTGCCCGTCTAATATGGTGATTCTGAAAGTACTGATGAGCCTTATATTTCCCACCCCACATTATAGCATGCCACCCTATTTGCATGTCATGGCCTTCTAATGCCAGTAGTCTTCTGTTCCTTAAGTGTATCCAATCCTTTATCCATACCGATATTGCTGCTTGATAATATTTTTCCCAATTCGGGAGGCCGAGCCCTCCTCTTTCCTTTGCATCCTGTAATAACTTTAATTTAATTCTCAGTTTTCTACATCTACAAATTACATCCAGATAAATTTGGATGTAATTCTGTTTAAATTTTCAAAAAAATCCTTGCCTAATTTAATTGGTACACATTGAAATAAAAAGAGTAATTTGGAAAGTATATTCATTTTGATTGTCGCTATTCTCCCCATAAAGGAGAGCTGCAAGTTTTTCCATCTGTCTAAGTCTGCTATAATTTGATCTATTAATTTATCATAATTTTCTCTTTTGAGTGTAGTACATCTTGCCGACAGCTGGATCCCCAAGTACCTTACTCTTTTAGATGTCTGGATATTGATTTTTTCTACTAGCTCAGTTCTTATAAATTGGACATGTTTTTAACTAACATTTTAGTTTTTTCTTTATTAATTTTCAACCCTGTGATATCTCCATAATTTTCCAGCACCTGTAATAATCTTGTTCCAGATTCTAAGGGGTCTTCCAAAATGAAAACTAAATCATCTGCATAAGCCTGTAATTTAAATGTCTCTTTTCTGATTTCTAATCCTTTAATCAGCCTATCTTTTTGGATTATTCTTGTAAGTACTTCTAAAGAAAGAATAAATAATAAAGGTGATAGTGGACAACCTTGTCTCGTTCCTTTTTGTATTTGGACGCTATTCGTTAATTCTCTAATTTATGATTATTTTTGCTTCTTGTTTAGAATAGATTGCTTTAAACATGTTTATAAATTTTTCTCTGAATTCCATCTGTTTAAGTTGAATCGACATAAAATTCCATTTGACATTATCAAAAGCTTTCTGAGCATCAACAAAAATCAATGCCATTTATTTTTTGCTATGTAATTCATAATATTCTAAGATGTCTAGTATGATCCTAACTTTATGTCTAATTTGTCTTTTAGGCAAGAAGCCATTTTGGTCGGTATGGATAAATTCAACTAAATATTTTTTTAATCTTTCTGCCATTATAGTCATGAAACTCTTATAATCCGTGTTCAGTAACGAGTTGGGCCTATAGTTTTTAATGCAGGTCAAATCAGAATTTTCTTTAGGAATTAGTGAGATGATTGCTTCTTTCCATGTGTTTGGGGTTTTTGTTATATTTAGTACATCAGTAGAGTTGGGGCCAAAAGTTCTTGGAAGTTTTTATATATTTCGGATGGTAATCCGTCAGGGCCAGGTGTTTTATTACTTTTTTTGCTTTTTAATTGCTTCTATAATTTCCTGGATTGTTATATCTTTATGTAATATATTTTGAAATTTTTCCGGGACCTTCAGTAGATCCGCTTTCATAAGATATTGTGATATTCTTTCCTCCGTAACCTTTTCATCCTCTTTGTAAAGATTTTTATAGAATTCATACGTCACCCATTTTTTCTCTTCATTTTGATGTACCATCTCCCCTGCTTGATTACATAATTTACTAATCCATCTTTAATCTTTTTGTTTTTTCAATCTATAAGCCAACCATCTCCCAGGTTTATTTGCCTGTTCAAAAAAATTTTGTCTAATACTTTTTAATTTTTTTGCAATTTCTTCCTTTTCTATAATATTCAATTTATGCTTGTTTAAATCTAGCTGTTGTTTTAGGTCTCTACATTGTGGGTTTTTTTGTAGTTCTGATTCTAATTTTTTGTATTCTTCCTCTAAACTTTTTTGATATTGCCTTTTCTTTTTATATTCATTGGCCATGTAGGCAATTGCAGTACCTCTCATAACATCCTTGGCCGTGTCCCATAAATTTTGAGTGCTAGTCTCCTCTTTTTTATTTGTCTGGTAAATGTCCGCATTTGTTCCTCCATCTTATGCCTAAATTCTGTTTGGTTTAAAATTGCCTTTTTTGGAGTTCACCTCCTTGTTGTTGTCTTCTGTTCTTTCCATTTAATTATAATGGGATTATGGTCTGCCCAAGTAGTTCATCTTCATTGCCTAGGTGCTGCTGGAAAAACTCTTCTGCTTTGTCAATCGAATCCAGCTTATATCTTTTTTCTTGCCAAGTCACCAGAACCCCTTCCGGCATCAAGCCACCTAAAGTTGATGTTTTGTCTTATTAATTTTGCTGTAATAAGTTGGTAGGGCTTTCTCAGGTCTCTTACCCTCCTGGGGACTTGTTTAAGAACAGTTAGTTGTTTACCTCTGTATTCTATTGGATCGTCCCTTGTTCTGTGCAAAATCTCATCCCTAATTGACTTCTTCACAAATCTGATATGTACTTCCTTGGGTAGGTTATTTCTTCTCACGTAGTTTGTGTGGATTCTCCATGTTTCATCAATCTCATTTGCCATCTCTTCTTTCCCTGTCCCTAGGGCCCTTGCTAACAAGTCCATCATCATTTCTGGAATGTCCTCCTCCTTCTCTTCCTTCACATTTTGAAAACATAAATAATGGTCTGCTTTCTCAGTTTCAAGCAGGATGACGTTTTTTTCTAATTCTTTGTTTGCTTGAGAGAGTTTTTCATTCATTTCATCTACTCTTCTTTCCTCCTTATTCATTCCGTCCTCCATTTCTAATAATTTCTGTTCATTTTTCAATATCTGTTGTTGAAAACATTCAAATTTTCCATCCATTGCTCCTATCTTCTCTTTAAATTCTCCAGTATCATTCCTTATTTCACCTATTTCTTTTTTTAAATCCTCATGGTTTCTCAATATAACCTCTTGCATGGATTGTAGCATTGCTTGTAGGTCTTTAAGTGAGCCTGCTCTCTCCCGTGGTAGCATCTCTTCTATGGATCTTTGCCCTGCTAGGCTTAA